GCAAGAAGAGGCTCGAGGCCCGCAAAAAACGGCTCCGGCTCGCAGGCTCGCACATTAGTTACTCTCTTCGAATATGGTCGATTTAGATAACAATAGCACCTCACACCAGCTACTTCATAAGCAGCTACATTGTACAGCTCTGATGATTACAAGCTTAGATTTGACTCTGGCATGATGTATGTTAGAGTGCTCTACGAATAAAGTCTATTGTGGAACCAAAATACCGTCTCATCCTTGACGTCTGTATAAACTCGCTCGAAGTAGATCTCCGTGTACCAGGAAATCGCGACGAGTTTCCGTTCTTGCTTCCGAGTCGCTCTACAGAGCTAGTTTCCTCCGTTATTGTTATGCCGTTCGCGAAGGTTTAGTTTACCCTGGTTGGGCGCGAAAACCTATCGTCACACTCCCCAAATTTAGTAAAAAATCTTGATCTGTTCATTTCCTCTATTGATTTTCTTATAAAATGATGATAAAAGTAAGAAAAAAAAAGATTGGCAGCTAACTTTACTTGGTTAGTTCATTAAACTTCTCTTAGGATTTCATGTAAGACGATGTGGTGGAATTGAATAAGATTAAAAAAAATAATGATGGAGATCCAGCTGTCTAAACAGCGAAAAGGAAGTCACTATACGATCAGCTTAAAATGTGTACTGGATATGAATGAATTGATTTGTATAGATACGAATTTATATCAAGTATTTGGACTCAAATTACCGATGCGGTTTTTAGACAGTTGGCCAAATCAAGCACGCAGCAGGATGATAAAACGATGAAGTAATTTTAAGCAGTATCAAGACAGCAACAGTTTGGTGTTTTCGATGTTGAACCACATGCTAGAGGTAATAACTGAAAACGTCTTTCTTGTAGGTGTCTGGGGTGTATTTGTAGAGACTGGGCAGTATTCGTTCCAGTCTCCCTCGACGTTTTTTGTTCCGGTTGCGAAGCGATGCCATGTACTCGTGAATCGAAATAGAATTAAAGCTTTTCCTTCGTTGAATACGTCTCAGTGTCATGATCAGTATACTTTGACTGAGTTGACAACGTTTTGTTTTAGCGAGGACTAAATTAATCAAACCCGCCTGATGGCGGGAAACCAATGTTTTTTTGTCATTTTGTTTTGAGTGTTACTACTCGAAAATGCTCTCTTCGATGTTTGAAACTGAACTGCATGAACAGTAGATATGGAATAATGGCTTTTTTTTTAATTTATTAATTTCAATTTTCAAGTTTCAATATCCAATGGAAAAGGTAAAAAATATCATTATTTCGTTTTCATAATAGTTATGGAACCAGGTGTCTCTTTATTTTTGAATATTCGATGATAAATTTAGGAATCATTCTGACATGAAAAAAAACAGCAAAGAGGTGAAGGGATTCGCAATTATTGTTGTGTTTTGGGATACCAGTAAATGAATCGACGAATTTTATCATACTGATAGTTTTAAACACTTTGACTTCGGTTAATGCTCAATGGGTTATTTCTTAGTGCTACTGTTGTGACACCAGTTATGGCGCAGGTATATTTCCCACTTTACGAATTGCTCTCAAACACCTTGTAATTTTGTCTCGCTTTGTCTAAGCTTTATTATTGGAATTGTATTAGGGCCCCGGCAATAAATTTTGGATCCCATATTATGCATTTGATGAACTCGCTTCACCTAAAGAATATTATGTGCCGATGAACACAAGAATTTTATATACTGCATATTTAAAACCAGTTACGCTACTTGGCATTATATTTGTATGTTCGGTACTGGGAACAAATTGTGGTAAAGAGGAAAACATCACGACTCGTCACTTTCGTGTGGTTAATAAGTGGCGTGATGTCGTGATCAGCAAAGGGGAGCAATCCCTTGTAATGAACCCAAAGGTGACGAACTAGACGAAAACTTTATTCGATTTTACTCCGTATTTGAGTAGAATCGACACCCATCTCGATTCACAAACTGCATTTGACATGAATATTCAAAGATCTCTGCTGCCGCACAAAAAAATGCGATTTTCGAGGAAACAGCTATCAAACTGTCGATGCTCCGCGGGGGGGAGGCCCAGATCAGATAAATGCACGGACACAATTTAACATGGCTTAGTTCAAGAAATCCGTTGTAACTGAAACGCTTTGTTTATCTTACTCCTTCATGTTGTCTGTTATCTTCCTATTCCCGTTCACGCTTGTCATTGCTGCATAGTTTTTTTTAACTAAACCGAGTTTTGACATTGATAGACACCCTAGGCGCACCACCACTTGGTGGAACTGGAACCAGTAACTATTATGAGCCATAACATAATGAACATAATACGCATGGTCTGATTGTTCACTTCAGTTTCCAAGCGGATACCTTATCAGGTTATAGAGTCAGCAAGTAACTAGTTATATCATAAAAGCGATAGAACGCATTTTTCCGAGCTCTACAACGTGATAAGGAACAATCGGAAAGCTTAAAAGTCGCTCGCCTTCGGCTTGTGATTTATGAGCTTTCCTCATGACCACCATTTATCGCGTTTTAGAGCACGGAGAAATGTGCGCTATTGCTTAATTATGTCAATAAAAGGTGAGTACATGGAAAACCTTGCAGCATAGTTAGTAGAGGGGACAGGTTAGGAAACCCGGAAAACTTCAAAGGGGTAACTTATTGTTATGGTTTTAGTGTGATCACGTGGTTATGACCGTGCACACGCTTTCAAGATGGCGGCTGTCTTTCGAGAAGCGTGACTTTATCAAGGACAAATTTTAAAGTATTTTATGCTTCAAACGTAGTTTAATCAAGAATTTCTAAGAGATATGTAGTTTGACTATTTATAAATCATCATGCCGGGAGATAACTGTTCGGTTTTTGGTTGTGGAACCTCAAGAAGGACGAAAGGTGTTGGTATCTGGAAACTGCCTGCACCGAAAGACGAGGGCCATCGTAAATGGAGAGATGCTTGGCTCAGCGAGATTACCAAGACAAGAACAGTTGATGCAGTATTCCGAAAAAAGATCCAAAACGATACTATATACACCTGCGAAAAGCACTTTCACCCTCAAGATGTTGAAATATGTAAGTAAAGTTGATTTTGTTTTACGTTCCTTGTGTGTTGCACTATTTCACTTTGAATTGGGCATATTCACTTGTACCCTCATTTATGTTATATTTTTCCAACGTGGAATAACTAAAATGACCTTCTGTCTTTCTCTATAGTTCAATCCGAAAAGATGATCAAGAAAAAACCACGATTTGGAGCGCTGCCATTATTAAACATGCCGAAGCGAAGCCACGAAACGAATAAACCTGTACCTCGACCTGCTCGAAGCGTGGTAACTACAGAAAGCGCGAAACCTGTGAAATCAGCTTTTTATAAAACCTTTGGCGATTTGTGCAAGAGAGTACCAAGTTTAAAGAGCCTCAACGAGTGGAATATTCAGACATCCAAGGATAGACTGGTCATTACAAAGATGAAAGACAACCTTCTTCTCCCAGAAAAGGAACTTATTGTTGACGACAGCCTGGGGTTCACAATCAAGGTATTTGGGTGCTTTCTTCCAGAAACTCACGATATTTACATCAAGCATCTAAGATCGCTGAATGTCCCAGTCAGTANATTGCTTAAATAGCGCTATCTACTGCGAGGATCGTGCATCATATGTATCTAATACCGCAGTTCAAAATATATGAACTTCATATATTTCATTGTATCTGAAGAGTAATTCAGTTTTAATTCAATATCAAAATTATTACAACCATATTTTGTATAACTTTATATTTAACAATTATTCGCCGATGGCGAGGTGAATTTCGTCGAATAATCCCAGAGACGAAGTCGAGGTGATTATTCCACAATATTCACCAAACCTGAGGCGAATAATTGTTTTAGTATAATTTCAGAGCTGAACAACAGAGAAATTTCTAAAATCATAACATTTTAGTAACATCTATTAACATTTTATTTTAACATTTAATATAAACCGTGTGGAGCGGTTTATATAGCGTCATATAAGGAACCGCTCCACCAATCAAATTGCTGGAAACTCTTTGCTCAGCTCTGAAATTAAAAATATATATAGCCGCTGTTTATTTACTACACATATTATTATAGATCTTTTAATACGTATACTGATTCAATAACTGATAACAATGTGGTCGTTAGTTCCTACAATATTTCAGTTGGCAAAGAAGAATAAGGTAGAAATAATTAGCGATATAGCTAATATAACGTAGTAACTTAATAATTTTTTCCATGTAATTTTTCAGATTTTAATTGTTTTGGTCTAAATGATTTTTCTGTCCCATTTACGACTATCACTTCACTTGTTTATAAAGGTTAGTTTGTACTCATTTGCAAGTCTTGGTTAGGAGATACTAAATAGTATTAAAAAATTGAAATTTGATGTAATTTTAAATCAACGTAATTTGAAGACATGAATAATCAGTATTAATGATACATGAAGTGTTTTTGTGTCACTTTACTAGACAAAGACAACAAGGGGAAAGGATAAAAGTATCATTTATGTTGTAGTAAAATGTTGTGGGAAAACAAAGACTCTTTTCGAAGTTTTTTCCCTCATAATAGTACCAATTATTTGAAAAAGAAAGGACGATAGAAGCCCTGAAAATGATATTTAAAATACAAAAGCACGATCTCGAAAACTGTTGAGAAGTCTCGGGTTGGCTTGTCAAACACTGATCCTACTCTCGATTAAGAGACAACATTATGGAACTCTACGGAATGCAAATACCTAAGAACAGACGTCTGGCGATAAATTTCCATCGGAATCCCTCTTTACAGATGCTTCAATCAAAAATGAAAAAATTTTTTAGACATTTTACTAGAGTTGTCAGTGTTGGAGAAGTTGTACAAATAGCCCCCTCATCTATTCGATCCCAGCTCCTGCTTCCCCCCCCCCTTCGTGACAAACAATCCTGGAATTCGGCTTTGGTTGTATTTAATCCCTTCATTTCCCATTATTATTTCTTAAAAAGATAATGATAAAAGTATGAAAAAGAAACATCGACAGCAAACCGTACATAGTTAGTTCATTTCAACACCTTTTTATCAGGATCTCATTCAGAGACATTATCTTTTGAAAAAACCCTCATGGAAGTCAATAGAGATCCAACTGTCTGAGGAATAAAATTATGGACGATGGGAATTTTAATAACATACTCCCATTGAAATTTACGTAGAAAACTCATTTATTCTTAGCCTACATGTTGCTAAAAATCATCATCAAAATTCGAAAAAAAAAACTATTTCGAAAACCAATTGAAAAACTTACTATGTTCGACTAGAGTTTTAGGACTGTTAGCACAAATCTACATTTTGCAATCAGATTTAGGTTGATAATAATCGATAGTCATCTTGTTCAAGTGTTTACAAAATTGCGTACTACAACTAGGGAAGAATATGAGATGCTACAAACGTGTACGTAAACTAAGTGTAGGATATCAAATTACCTTTTAACTGCCGTTACTGATGAATAAGGCCCCGTCCACACGAAGACGATTGTAAACGCAAACGCTAGTAAACGCAAACTTTATAAAACATAAACTTTATAAACATCATACTTCTACCACTGAATTTCTGTTTAAGTATTTCTCAGTCCACAAGAGAAATTTGTGCTTTTTCAGCGCAAATTGAAATCGAGTTTTTAGCTGAAAGAACCCCAGCCAATATCTTCTTATAAATATAATAATAATATATAAATTTATTTATCCTCGGCAGTGTTTATAGCACACTAGTGCTAGTGGGGCTAAGCAAATAACTGAAACAATTATTTCAAATTGAACATAACATTAAGAATCCCAACTGGCCGGGGGCAAACTAGTTAGCTATTTTCAAGCAGGACCAAGGATTTGAACTCGGATCCCGTGAAACAAATTCAGGTAGTGGTCAGAGCGGGACTCAAACCCGGGATCGGTGGATTGCGAGTCTGACACGCTGACCACTCCGCCACGCTGCTTCCTTTTCCACCCTGCCTCTTCGCTTAGGACAATTATTATACAAACGTAAGGTTAAGCACTTTGCTCGAGATGCGTTAATCCAAGAGGCTTCATTTCTATCGCTTCCACTGTTTTTTTATCTGAGAAAAAAAAGTAGAAAACTAATTAAAGGAGTGCTAAACGATTCAAAGAAGGGATAGGATAATAATTATTACTACCATTTGCTGATGAAGAAACTAACGAACATTTAGATCGAAAGACTATTGGTTGGATGGATATTTGCTGTGTTCTGTATCAATTTCTTGCTTTTCCCACAATTTTTTGTGAAGTAGAGGCCGACCTTGGCTATAGATTCGAAGGGAATAGTACATATCAACTAAAGTTACCGTTCAGCCTTTCCCCTGGTATTTCTGTTCTGGATCATTTTTCTCGCTCCCTAGTCAAAACTTGAGTGAAGTTAACAAGATACTAATGTTTGACTAGGATATGCAGAGGTGCAAAGATCTCATCAAAAAACTTTTACCTTCTCCATTGGAAAGTTGCTCGTTATCCTCGATTCCTTGTGGATTCTGTTGATCTTCTAATCAAACAATGCATGAGTAAACTCTGGATTAATAATTACAATGTCATATCTATATGAAAACTGACATTGGTTACAAACAGCAAATTTCACGAACGAAGACAGTTTCTGGTTCTATTCTATCGGATGTTTTGAGAGAAGGAATGGGAGAAAAAGAACATAGTTACCCTCATGTTCTCCATTGCAGTGAAATGCGCTGCGTAAGAAGCTTCTCAGTTTTGCTACTTTGACTCCCAAATAATCTTGCGCCTGGAAAGGAACATTGAAACAGAAATTCATTAATCACACCATGATTATTTTTTTACGTAATTCCATCATGATACCTGACTCCTTCCCTGACCTCTCCATACTTTTTCCACTTTTAGTAACAGGCAGCCACCAGAATTTTTTTAACGGCTACTCTTCCCACATTGGGTGCTGGTTAAATTCCCTGACATTTGAATAATTCTGGTTTAAACGGATAGATAAAAAGAGGGAATCTAAAAGTAGCCTGCGTAGGAGTAAATTTGTTCTAAGGCTTGAAACCTGATTTCTTGACCCGGAGTTCAGCGTGCTAACCAGTGACCATAAGGTCTTCCCTCAAGCTATTTGAATGTCAAAGATGGTAAAGAGATCTTGTCCCTAACCTTCGGTGTTGCTAACGTGTACAGAATCGGGTTTATTGCTGAATTGACAGGTAGTGCAAACACAGCAATCCACACGGCCAGATCTCCTGGCGGTTTGTAATTCTTCTCCAAAACCGACCTCATACCAATCACGATGATTGGCATCCAGCAGAGACAATCAGTGAAGATGATAAAGAACACTCTTTTGGCTAGGCCTGACTCTCTCTCGGTGTTGGCTGATTGGTTTTTGACCCTCACTCTGCTTATGAAAATAGCGAGGTATGCAATTGTAATGAACATGAAGAGGAATAAATTGAGGCCAACAAAAACAGAAACAGAGTACTCCCAGCCTTCCGTTTTTTCAGGAGAGAGCTGCAAGGGAAGGCAAACAACACTTTTTCCGTAGTAGATGTGATAAGCTTCCAAATCTTGGAAGTATTTCAGGCCAAACATTGGAAAGAATGCCAGAAGAAAGCCGACGAGCCATATAATGGCGCAAAAAATGTGTGTCATGTTACGAGAAAGTGCACCACCTCTGAAGGGGAACACAATGTTCTTGAGTCGGTCTGCAGATATCAAAGCCATCAGCATCAGAGAGACTTCACTGGATAGTAAAGAGGTAGCGCCAGTTATCTGGCAACCCAAGCCAGACCGCCACTTGAAGTTATGTAAGTAATACTCTCCTCTCCACAACAGATCTTTAACACCAAGTGTGATTAAGTATGCTCCCATCAAACCATCGGAGACTGCCAAATGCAATAACATGATTGACTGTACCGTGTTTGTATCTTTAAAAATGGAACGCCATGTGATGACAAACACAGACCCAACCAGGGAAAGGCAGCCGACTACCCAGATGCTCTTCCTTGGGGTTGAGCTCTTAAACATGCTCTCACAGTTAGCGAAGTCGTCGTTGTGAATGAAAGAACAGTCACCGTCCTCCTTGTGCATATGACAACACATCAGATTTGTGTCCAAACTCCTGCAATCGTAAAATAAGACATCGTCCAGTGAAATAAGGTATTTCAAATTACTATATGTACTAACTATAACAGAGATTCGTAAATGTCCCCTCATCGATATAAGAAACTTCCCATAATGAATGCCACGTCTTCCATTCTCGTTGGGAAGCTATTGCAAACATTAAATTAACATTTTTCTCAGACATCCTCTATTTACAATTTATTCTTTAAATTTTAGATCGTAGTATAAATATAATAAAATCGTACACTCGCAGTATATCCTTCTGCACTTCAAAAAATCCATAAGGAAGCTCTCTAAACTTGTTGTAATGCATGTACCTGGAATGGAAAATTTGTGAATAGAAATATAGCTCTGATATCATTAGATTGTGGCAATCAAAACATTTAAGGTGTGTTTTGCAATACGTGTTTTAACTATTTGAACTATTCAGGGTCAAACAGTGCTTTTCATAACTTGTAAAATCATTTCGATCCAAGAAAACACTTACATCGTTCTCAACCGTTGATTTTCTTTAAAGGTGTCGATGGTAACTTGTTTCAGTTCGTTGTTAAAGATTTCTCTGTCAAAAGGAAAGCTCAACAATTTAAAATAAAAACCGCACCTATTTTATGTTGCTGAAACCATTCTGTTACCATTGCTTCGACTACTGGCATCGAGATAAACAGCCAGTCTCCGCAAGAGTTTAATCAGCAAAAGCCATATGTATTTATTGAAAAGAATTTCACGAAACTTAGCGGCATCTTTTACGATATTCGGAATAGAATTTTCTTCTATCTAGGTTCCTCTGTAACATTCACAAAACGGGAGGCAACCGTTTTAAGATTTAGCGCCCCTGCTATAATCCCCTCGCGCCCTGCTGTAATCACCTCGCCCCAGGTTCACTGAATATTGTTGGATAAACCTTTTAACTTCGTCTCAAGGAATATTCAACAATATTCACTTCGTCTTCGGCGAATTACTGTTAAATATCATTCCGATAAAGGTAAATACCCCATGTATTTAATAGTCCACTTACATAATCAAAAGCTCTTCTAGGCCTTTAAAAATTCCTTCTGGCAAATTTTCGAACTTGTTGTCTGAGAGGTAACTAGAAAAATGATAGAGGATTACGTGAAAGTAGGACTATGTCAATACATAAGTGGGACATTTTTAAGTTGATTTTTATAGGCACGATAAAGTATGAAAAGAAAGACCGCGATGTAATTCGTTTCTCTTTTTCAGTGTAATTACAAGATCGTAGTAGTAGCAAGTATGATAAAAATTGTAAGAAATAGACAAATTTTTTGAGAGACATGTTTCGGCATGCTTATGCCATCTTCAATCAATGAGTAACTGAACGTGAGTAATTATATCACAGACAAGTAGATGAATAAAATATTTACAGTATGATGTAATACAAAAGCGGGTACTAATTACAACGTGACACCAAACATCAAAGGTGTGAACTAAAACGCTAGAAAAGTGTNGATAAAAACTCGCATATTTTTAAGCATTTCAACACATCTCCTTCTTGTAAGAACAAATACTCCCTTTCTTGCTTTAGTATTCTGGATTCTGCTAACAACTCAATTAATTTAGAACTCAAAGAAGCTTTTTATATAAATAAGATCAAACCTGAACTTAACAAACAATTACAGTATTATGACACTTTTCTAGCGTTTTAGTTCACACCTTTGATGTTTGGTGTCACGTTGTAATTAGTACCCGCTTTTGAATTACATCATACTGTAAATATTTTATTCATCTACTTGTCCGTTATATAAAATGACACGTTCTGTTACTCACTGATTGAAGAAGGCATAAGCATGCCGAAACATGTCTCTCGAAAAAGTTGTCTATTTCTTACAGTAATTACAAGAATTTTTTATGCCTTTTTTCAGAAGGGCAGTTATCATGCGTTTACCATCCAAACCAGCCAAAACACATCCCAACAGCAGTTAGAATGCCTACGACACAGGTAAAAACTGGAAATCCATAAAGAAATGAGGAAGTGACATCTGAGTAATTTAAATTTTGTTAAAAAAAAGAGGAGGTAATCGCCGGGTGTAGGTGTTTTCCGTACACAAAAGTGTTTATTAACAAATTTGGCGGTCAGATTAAGTTTTATAATCAGTATAGTAGTACATTTTCAAATCAGATTTCCAGAGAAAAGACAAAATGAAAAAACAGTATCCTTGTTTTACTTACAGGTCATGCAGCTTCGCCAATCCCCAAAATTGAACCGGGTGAAGTTTCTTTAACTTATTCTTCTCCATTTTTCTGTTAAATTAAAAACAGAAACTTTTTCATGGTCGATTTTCATTTCAATTGGAAAATCGAATTTGCATCAATCATCATGTCTGGTCATTTCATTTTAAATTCAAGTTTCGATTTACCACGAATGACCAAGAAGTAATTTCTCCTTACAATATCAATACAACATCAAACACATTAGTAATGACAATAAAGAAATAAGTCACTTTAGAGATCATCAGTTGATCCAATACCAAACTCTCACAACTGACATCATAATAGTTGTTAGGCAGACAGAAAGGAGAATTATTAATGAGATCTTGAGAGGGGAAGGGTTCAACTTACATGGAGAGGTTTTTTTTTTGTTTTGATAGGTTTCCTAGTTAGTTTTCCATGTAACATTAGATAAACTCGACTTTGAGATTATGTATGAGAAACGATTACTAATCTTAGCGCATCAGGCCTATTATCATCTCTTACCATGTCCTATGAACCGTCTCTTTGAAAAGTATGTAAGTAGTTACGACCTCAGGAGGAAAATGACATTTAAGTTACCTAGACCTAAGACCGATATGGTCAAGAAATCATGCTCATACAAGTCTATTACTCGGTGGAACGCTCTGGAAAATCAAATGAGATCAATTCAAGACGTTGACGCTTTTAAAAAGTCACTCAAGTGTATTTTTAAGCCACGTATATTATAATGATGTACTATGTAGAATTTTTATTGTTGAAAATATGTAGAAATCTTACATTAGTCTTCTTATAATTAGTTAGGAATTTATTTTTATTGTTATTTAGTTAGGAATTTAGTTTTATTGTTTGTACACGACCACATCAGCGTTTGCTGAAGCTTTTTATTGTGTTTAAATAAATGCTGTTGTTGTTGTTGTTGTTGTTGTACTTTGCGTTTACCTTAACTGAAGTTGACAGAACTGTCGAAATATGTTGTCTCTTTTCTCAAAATTATAAGCTATAAGTTTTAGAAAGCGTGTCTCCTAAACTCAGGGTCAAAGTAACCTCAAAAATAGACAGTCAACGACTACATGTGTCTACTTGTAAGAAATTTGGAATGTTTCTTTTTTTTAGAGGAGAGTCTGGTGATATGCCTCTCTGTCGCAAATTTTAACATTTGCGTTTCACAAGATCGAGTAGTGTCCAGGATTGCATGCGGAAGGGGGCCGTGCTATTAAATCATATGTATCACTAAGTGTCCTCATGTATAATAGTTCACCATAACACATAATTCTCTCGTATACGAAGCAATATGAAATTGAGAAATTAGTCTGTCACATATGAAATATTTGTTAAACAACACTTGCATGCAATCCCGGATATAAATGACAAGATCAGGAGATGGACAATCCCGTCAGGTGTTGTAAAGAAATAAAATTAATGTCCTACAATCTTGAACATTTCAAGTGAAAAATTAACTCCTTCCCCCCAGTTTAGCAATGGGTAAATGGCGCGTTTTAGTATTCACGCAAATGCATCATTGCATCGGGAGGAGGGAAGGTGCTATTTCCCTTGTTTTATTCCATCCGAGATAGGCCGACTCTAGGACCTTAAGTCGTCTAAAGTCGCTTAAAGCCGTATTAAGTTGCCTGGAGCCAACTCAATTGGAGGTAAGGTAAAAGTGGTTAAGCGAGCGAGGAAACTGATCGCGTGTGGAAGGAAAATAGACGCGCGAAGCATGAGACCAGCTTATAATTGGAAAGGAATTGTGGGAGAATCGAAATGGAGGAGACAAATAAATATTGTCATCTTTATATTGCCCTTTGCCGTGCACTCGTTTGTGATCCATTATTCTCTGGAATTTTTTTAAGTAATAATTAACTTCTACACTGGTAACTGCCATCAGATGCAAAAATAACAATTATTTAACTTTGTTTTAATAATGTTTTTTATAAAGTGAATGTATAGAACTGGAACATGCTCAGTTTTACTGTATAAAAACACAAGACATAGCTTTGTATCACAAGAACTTTGAAATAATTTTTGCTGTTCTGTCCACAATCATTCTTTGATTTTCTGCCTTTAATAAAAACTTATTTTAGGTCATTTAGTAGAATATCTGCAATAGGTGTCCTATTCTTGATTTTCCTCAAGAAACTCTGTGCGGCATTATTAAAGCAGGTATTATTTCTCATGCCATCTTAATTTGTGTTAACTAGGGTGCGACACATCGGTTTGGTTTTTAACAAGGACAACAGTGTTGTTATCTTGCAATTACTACAATTGACTGATCATTTCTTCATCTGAAGTTTTTGTTGGAGGTGTTTGTTGCATACCGCACAACAGGCTGTTTTTTCTTTTTATGTCTACACCAATGCATAGGCCTGTAAGGATGTTTTCCTTCAGTTCTGGGTTATCAATATTGATGTTGTTACAGGGTTGTAGCTAGAATTTTCTATAGAAGGAAAAATATTTTGTAATAGGCGGCAGGCACCAGAAGCCGCTTCCATCGGCACGTTACCGCGCTGTAACGTGCGATAATTGTATAACATAACTTCGTAACCAGCGACTACGTGTAATCAGGCATGTATTTACACAAAGCGAAGCAAAGCGTCGAAATGTACCAAATGCTTATCTTTCTGAAAAACGAGCCTTATGGTTAAGAAAAAGGCACTGATGAAAGGAGCAGATTCTTTGGTACGTGTGCACAGTTCTGTGTTCAGTTCGACAACACAATATTTAAGAAAGTATGCAGGCAAGGCGAGTTGACTGTCTGGATAGTCGGTATTCACTGTATGTACTCGCTACTTGTCTTGTCTCTTAGTATATTTGATACTCCATTATCCATAATTTGTAGCTACGCTATGTAAAACAGATGAAACAGGAACTGACTTTCTGAGCATGTTCTTGTCTTTACTTCTTAATATTCTGTAATGCAATGACTCGATAACTTTTCTTGGTGATATCCTGCAGGGGCAGATCTAGGATATTTTGATTGGGGGGTCCAAACTTTGGTTCAGAAAGGACTGTTGCACTCTTTTGAGGCAAAATACTTCTCTCCCCACACCCTCTCCCACCAGTCACGCTTCCACGTTATAAATCCTTGGCTGCTTATCGTTTACTTGGATTCATTTTAAAAAATCATCCCGTTAAAAAGTAATATACGATCCTGTCGATGTAAGAATCTCAGTCTCAAAGTTGTAAGCGTCATCAGGTCTGATGGGGGGGGGGTCCGGACCTCCCGGACCCTCCCCCTGGATCCGCCACTGTCCTGGATGGCTCTCTATATCTAACCCTGTGCTTTACTCGTGAACGTAGCTGAAAATATCTATTTCTTTGTATACATCTAAGTGTTATGAACTGATTTACTATACTAACTTCATTTGCATATCCATTATTACTACATGTATCAGCTTCAGAACCAGGCACAGCTCTCGGGGATGTTTTTACATTAAATTTCTATATCAATCGTCCCATTACCGGGATTATTTGTCTCCCGAAGAAGCTTTATTGTCCTATTGCTAAGATTATTTGTCTCCGGAAAGAGGTTTTTTTTCCCCTTTCTCTGACTGTTTGTGTCCCGGAGGAGGTTTCTTGTCCCACTGCTGGAATTATTGTCTCCCGAAGGAGGTTTTCTGTCCTACTGGGATTGTTTGTCTCCGAAATAAGGTACTTTGTCCCATTGTTTGAGTTATTTGTCTCTCGAAGGAGCTTTTCTGTCCAATTGCTGGGCTTATTTGTCTCCTGAAGGAGATTTGTTTTCCTCCAGGAATTATTTAAATCTTTAAAACGTTTACGAAACACCAAACACTGGACTTGGCGCCACTGAGTTGCGTATGAAGCCATTCCACAATGGTCGTGAAACAATCACTTTCATTTATTGTTCATTCTTCTGGAAACTTTTCCATACAGATCTTAAAAATATTCTTTGAAAGACATGCCTGGTTCTACTTACATAGAACGTAGAGCGTACAAGCATAGCACAAAGCATACACAAACGTGACGCAAACATAGAAACCAAAGGACGCGACTTATCTTCGACGTTTCAGTCGATAGTAAGTCGAAAACTGACGAAGAATCACATAGCTGCCGATGACTGATCGACGATTACCGATTTGGCAGGACGACCTGGCCGACTGTTGTCAATCGCCATCACCAACTATTTCAGATTAGTTCTTAGCTGATCAATATATTTTCGTCTTTGAACATCTGGTAATTTTTTCAAGTATTTTATAAATACTTTCAAATATTTACAATAGTTTTCTCTCCTAAAGTTGCAAATAAATAATCGTCTGTCAATTATTAATCAATTGACGAATGGTCGATCCATCAAATCAAACGCCTAATCAGTAAAAACCTCATCACAATGACTACTCACAATGTCCTAAGTTTGGTTAGGTTAGCAAATATCATTGGCGGTAAGTCTTCGATTTGATTGCTGGATAAAAGCCTGTGAGATTACAAAATTTAGCGGGTTACTGATAAAGAATAAACCCGTAGTTTTGGTTTCAACGGAAAACAAACTATCCACGGATATTAATGGTGGAACAGAGAATTAACTCTGAAGCGTAAATTAAAGTGCTAAGAGAAACCCATGAAAAACCCACTGGGCGTTAGCCCTAGTAAAGGGTATCAGGGAACCGCACGAGGTAAAAGGTCGGACAGATCGAGAAAGTCGGGGTCGATTAAGGGGGTGAATCGCGGCGAAGAGAAAGTAAGGGTACATATATAAATGTTGTCCTGCCGAAAGTTTTGTCCCTTACAGTGTTGTCAGCTTCATTAGGATGCAAAAGATTCCGTCTGCCAGTTGCAAGGAAAATGAGTTAAATGTTTTAGACACATATTAAAACCACAGATATAAGTTTTGTTCCTTACAGTTTTGTGAGCTTCGTTAGCTTGCTAAAGATTCCTTCTGGCAGTTTCTCCACTTTGTTATTAGAGAGATCCCTGAAAGTTACAAAGAAAATGAGTTAGAAGTTTCAGAAACATCTTCAATCCACAGATATAACGCCCATAAGAAAATAATAACAGAATAAGGAAAACAATAAAAAATA